AATTGATGCTTTTGAACTGTGGTGTTGGAGAAGACTCTTGAGAGTCCCCTGGACTGCAAGGAGATCCCACCAGTCCATCCTAAAGGAAATCAGTCCTGAATATTCATTGGAAGGACTGATGCTGCAGCTGAAGCTCCAATACTTTGGCCACCTGATGTGAAGAACCGACTCATTGGAAAAGACCCTGATGCTGGGAAAGATTGAAGGCAGAAGAAGGGTATGACAGAGGATGAGATGGTTGGATGGCATCACCAGCTCGATGGACATGAGTTTGAGCTAGCTCCGGGAGTTGGTGATGGACAGGGAAGCCTGCAGTCCATGGGGTTTCAAAGAGTCAGACACGGCTGAGCAACTGAACAGACTAAACTGAACTGAATACCTAATATAGTGGTACCTAATATAGCAGGCTTTCTATTTATTGAACTATATTGTTAAATTACACTAGTACATTAACCTTACTCATCTCTCTCATGGTTTAGTATACTTTGATCATATCCTTCTCTCTACTGCTCTCTCTACAGACTGAAAAAAACAGACTAGAAAATCCCTCCAACACTTTGATCAATTTAGGTTGGCTTCTGGGGATTTGTATCAGCTGTTAAGTTTTTCTTGATGAGCAGCCACAAGGATTACCTATATGATTGTGAATGCAAACCCACTTTTTGTCTTTTACAGGGAAATGATAAGAATTTTGTTTCATCATTGTTTTCAACACTCTTCCTGTTAATGCCCACCATATTCTTGGCTTCTAGGACCACAGTCACAACTGGGCCAACTTCTTCACAGATTTATAAACAGTGATTTTTATTTTACTCTAACAATAATATTGTGTATTATCTGAGTCAGAGACTGATAAGATGTATTTCTAATAGTTCCTGAGATCATCTCCAATGAGTATCCAGATAAACCTACAGATACTCAGCTACTCCAGCTGAAGGAGACAGGCATGATTCCAGAAGGTCCACAGTGACCCTTTCATTTTTTATCACAAACAATTGTCTCCACTGGGGAGGCTTTTCTAATATGCCCCTAGGAGAATTTTGTCGATCTCTCTGCTGTGTATCCTGGCTGCCCTAATTTCCTTCTGTATTCTGTTTTTAAAGTTTTAAAATTGAAAGATGGCATACATACATCTTCAGTGACTTCTAGATCCCTTTCTTGAGTCATAACTGAGCCCATCCTCTCATAGCATGGATAGGTTTGCATGATCTTATACAATGAAGTGCCTGTGACTATTCTCCCTACCTGGTCTCATGAGATCTTCCTGCAATTTATTCTTATCAGTTTGCCTGCACTCCTTGCAGATAAACTGGTGTGAAACCTGAGTGTTTTGCCCATGGAAGGGTGTATATTTTTATCTTTCTTCCTCTCCATCTAAGAATTGCTGTAACAGCAGCTGTTTGTATTGAAAACTGAAATATAAAAATATGACCTACGTGGCCAAATCCCACTAGGCTGTTTACTTCCTTATTTATGAATCAGATTCTGTCAGCACGATTTAGAATCTTGACTGTCAGCAATACTGCAATTGAATGTCCTTGCAAAGCCAGCAGAGGGTGCACCAGGGCACTGAAAATTTTACCCAAGATGTAGCAGTATCAATTTACTAGCCAATCAACAGTCCCCCCCCTTTTTTTTTGCTTGGTATACTAAACCTAATATCCTTAAATCTTAAGTTTGTTCTGGGATAAAATTCCTTCAAAGCTACTCTAATTCTCCTGGAAGTGAAGTTCAGGAAAAATAAGGAATACATGGTTAAACTTAGTCTGGCTAAAAATAAAGGTAGAGTAAAAAATGATGCAAACTACTTTGTAATTTACAAAGCTCTACCCAGCTACCTGACAAAAAGTTTCCAGAAAGTAGTATATCGCAGAATGGGAACTGAACTGGGAGCAAATAGACCAGCTACCATTCTAATTTTGATCATAGTTGTATGACTTTAGACAAGTCATTTCCCCCATAGGAATTATGTGTTCTCCAAAGATCAGATGGACTCATGGCCCCTCATAATTCAGAAAAAACTCTAACTCCAGTTGATGTCAGTAAACATAAAGAGCCAGTAGGCTTATTTCTACTCCTCGAAAAGACTAAAACAGAATAAAGGACAGAAGATAGGGCACTGTTTTTAAACCTAGACAGAACTATTTTGAGTACCATGCAAAGGCAACTAAACGTCATTATAGACCATGTGAGAATCCCATACCATCACAGAAGCCCCAGAATACAGCTGTTCTGCTAGTCCTCAGCCTACAAACATAGGTCAGTTCTGAATGCCAAAAAGCCTTGGCCACTATTTGACTAAGTAAGTTCAATCCTTCATCTTTTCACAGAATACCAATGTTCAGCTGCTAAGTATTTCTACTGGGTATAGTCAGGGATGTAGGGTGGATAGATAAAGGGAACCAGAATCCTAGTTAATTATCATGTAGTTACAGTGTTTAAAGTTTCAAGTACCAGAAGCATGTCTATTGATTCACTTCTTTGATAAACTGTTATATAAGTTTAAGTGTGCTAGCAAAACATTTTAAGGCTCAGGACAACTTTACAATGTAGAAACTGTGTCAGTCCTAATATTACAGCATTATCATGAATGCAACACCAGCTTTGGATGAGTGGTCAGAGTAGCACAATGTTATACAGTATGGCAATGACTCTAAATGTGGTAGTAAATATAGAAGGCCTGGGTCGCTCACCTCAAGGAGTTATTTGCACAACTTGCCCTCTTCCTCAAGAGGAACAAATTGACTGTTATTCTTTAACCACCTCAAAAAGATCCTTGGCTGCTTCTCTTAAGTTTTACACGAGACAAAATATGGCAAACGAGAATATTTAAGTGCACTAAATTTCCCTAAATAGATTTGCTGTTTCAGAAGTTGTCTAGCAAGACGGTATATTTCTACCAGAATTCCTCAGGGGCGCTGATCCTCACTAAATTACCGAGGACAATTCGTCTCAAATTGCAGGTAAGTGTGAACAAGTCCACGATGGTCAGCGCACCAGGACCCCGCGCAGAAAACGCGGTTCAAAGTTGTTTCAACGGGCGTGGAGCAGTTACTACAGCTGTTTACAGCTCCAACTCCAAACGAGAGTCTGCTAGTGCTGGCATCAGCTCTGGACACGAAAAAACAAGCACAGCGGGTGGAGAATCTCACCGGGAGCAGAACGGCCAGGCTGCTGCCGTTAGTTGGCCAGGGGGGCAGCGCCCGCACCTTCGCGCCGCGGCCCGGCCGGGAGCGCAGCCAACTCTTCCAGAGGCAGCCGGAGCCGGGGGCGGCGGGCGCCGGCCAGAGTTCCCAAGTCCGGGGGTCCTGAGAGACTCAGGGTGAGCTGGGCCAGGGACCGAGGACAACCTGCCCCCAGGCGACCTCTCCCTGGCTGGCCCACCACCTCCCCGGTCCAGCCGTCGAACTCGGCTCGAGGTGGCAGAGTCCTCCCCCGGCCCCCGCCCCGCGCACATGGTGAAGGGGCCCTGCCCCTCCAGAGTGACTCACCTGGTGACCATCCTGGGAGTCTGGGGGGAGCGTAGTTTCTCCCGGCTCCAGCGGCTGCTGCTGCGGGGACCGCTGCCCGAAGTGGCGGGTGATGGGACCGTCGGGGTCGAAGTCACCGGGGCTGCTCAGGGTGCCCGAGGTGCCAGGGGTACCGGGGCCGCTGAAGCGGGACTCAGCTCCCCGTTCCCGCCGCAACTCGGAGCGCAATTCTAGGTAGCAGCACAACGTCAGCAGGTGGAGGGCCAGAGAGAGGCCAAAGAAACCCAGAAAGAGCCGGCAGCTGTTCCCTTCGCCCGCCCGGGCAGGGGCCCCGCGACAGCCGCAGCCCTGGCTCCCGCGTTGCCGCGGCGCTGCCGCGGGCAGGGGTTCCCTGCGCTCCACCTCGGGGTAGCCCATGGCCTCCGGAGACACCCACTCTCTGAGGCCCGGGAGCCGCCGCGTCTGCCTCAGCCCTTCGCGACCCCTGACAGGCGGCTACTGTCCTGCCATCGGCTGGGGGCTGCAGGGACCCGTTCCTGCGCGACGGAGGCTGGGCGGGACCCAGCAGGGAGCAGCCTCATGTGCAGCTCCTCTCCGAGGGGTGGGAAAGAGAGGAGGAGGGGAGGGAGGGACAGGCGGCTCGGCCCGCCGAGGGAATGAGGGAGGAGGCCCCGGCCGACCCCGCCCCGTGCCTCAAGCGGGTGCTGGTACGCCCAACCACCGGGCCCGCCAAGCCTCGGCGCCCCGCCCCCTACAGTTCCACCCAGGGCCTCCAGCCGCGGGGCGGGGCCTGGGGGCGTGTGGGTTCGCCTCTGTCCCGCGGCCCCACCCAGCTCTTCTAGCTCGCCCTGTTCCAGTTGGTGACTGCGGCTGTCGTTCATCCCTGGACTCCGCCCCAATTTAACCCTTGAGCGCCAGTTCGAGGTTGTGGGGGAGAGGGGAGAGGAGGAGGCGAGGCGAGGGAGGCTGAGAAGAATTGGGGAACCTTGGAAGGAAACTAGAGCAAAGAAAAGGAGGCGGAAACTAGTATTAATAGAAATGTTTGCAATTAACTGCAGTTGTTAATAACATCATCCAGTACTTATCTGTTTCTTTCAATCTTCAAAGCGTTTAACAGACGTTAAACTAATTAAAACAGTCCTGGGTTTGGAATGAAACCATGCCTGCTGTGTTTGCAATTCAATGGCCCGCCAAAAGAAAAGGAGACCCAGGAGCCTGAGAGCCAAAGGGAGTGAGAATTGGGTGGGGACTGAGTCAGTCCCACTCCTCGGGTGAGTCTGGGGCCTCAGTCTAAGCGTTAAGAAGCCCATCTGTGTCAGGTGGAACTGAAGTGATGCTGCCTCCTGCAAGATAAAACAGTCCCTAAGATTTCTTGGTATATTATTTCAACGTATTGATCCCTTTACAGTGTAGAAAGTGCTGTAGGAGAGAATCCACAGCCAGCGTAGTTTTCCTCTTCCACTGCAACAGGAGTTTGGAGTGGAGAACAAGTGCCTTCAATAAGCAAATGGGGAAACTGAGGTCCAGAATAAGGTGGGTTTTTTTTACAAGCCTGGTCCACAGAATGACCAGACAGTACTGGCATCTCTATTTGCAGGCAACTGTTCTGGCCTCTCCACCCCTCTCCTCCTCTCCCTGGAGTAGTCCCTGGGGGAAGTTCAACAAGTCGGCCAAGTGTTCCAGATGTACACTGCTGCAACCGCAGTATCTTCAATAGCTGCACCAATCAGAAAAGGGTTCAGAGCAAAAAACAAACAAACAGAAAAACAAATAAAAAAGTAGCAAATGTCAGAACAAGACTCTGAAATGAAGTATGGAAAGGATTAGTTGAGTCAAAATTGACAAGAGTTATTAGTCTGCGATTATAGAGAGCCAAATGACCATAGCAGGGGAAGTATGTATGCTTCTTGGTCACTGTGTGAGGAATATTCCCATGTGAGGAATAATTAGCAGTTTTATTGACCTGAAAAGGGTAGGCCTAAGACCTGACTCGATGGACATGAGTTTGAGTAAGCTCCAGGAGTTGATAATGGACAGGGAAGCCTGGCATGCTGCAGTCCATGGGGTCTCAAAGAGTCAGACACGACTGAGCGACTGAACCAAACCAAAGACCTAGGCTGGTAGGAAAGAAGAAAATTAAGGGGAAGTAGGAAAGAATACAGAAGAAAAGAAACAAAAAGAATGAAAGCAAAGCATATGGTAGGGAGGTCAGTCCCAAGATTGCAGAAGTCATAAATCTTAAATATATTAGCCACAGCCAATTTTGTCTTTCAGACACTTTATGTATTGCCTCAGTGCTTCAGAAATATCTTTGTGTCTCCTCATTAGCCCTTTGGATGAAATATAAAGTTTCCAAAGACTATCATCATAATGAAAATAAAATTAAAAAGGAGCATTTAACAAGGAATTCTAGATGCTGGCAGGGGGAACTGCCAGGCTGATTTACTTTAATTATTACAGCTCAGAATTATTAGAAAGAATACTAGACTAGAAACCAGTAGATCTGACCCTGACACTGGTTTGCTGGGTCACTCTGAGCAAGTGACTGTTTTGGGGTACCTTAGTTTCTCCAACTGTAAAATGAGAAGTTTGAACTTAAACAGCTAAAATATTGTGTTTTATCTGTGATATCATTGACATTTTGACTTGGTTGCATACATAAAGGGTTCAAAGAGGCTGCTTCTTCTTCCCCTAAAATGAAAAAGGAACAAATAACAGCTACTCCTGAGAGTGGTGGTCGTGCTCAGAGGTTTTACTGGTCTCAATTTAACATGTTCTACCAGGCTTTCCGAAGCTTGACTGAGACCCTGGGTTGCACCATTGCCTTCAGAAGTCCTGCAAATTGCATATGATCTAGAACCTCACTTTGGTTCCTCAGAAGAAGAACATATGGCTTCATATGCAGTAGAAATATTGGACTGGGGCAATCCAGTGAGGAATGTACATGGTTATCTTTTAAAAGTGTTTTGGAAAAAAAAAATAAAAGTGTTTTGAAGTGTTAACTCTGTTAGTTTCTATGCTTCCATAAGTACCCTATCCCCTACAGCACAGGTCTCAAAATGACAGCCTGCAGGTTACATCCAGTCTACAGATGTGTTGTGTTTGGAGCAGTGTTGGTTAAAACTTTGGATTAAAGAAAAATAATTGCCAGGATACAGAAATCAGGAGATTTCACATTTTAAAATCCCTATTTCTTTAAAGCATGCTAACACTGGATCCACATTCCCATATGGCTACAATCAGCTAGAACTGCCCCCTTGAGATAAGAATGAGCAATCAAGTTCCACACAGTCATTCCCCAACTCATTCCTTTAGTCTCCATTACTGTGCTTGTCGCCCATTTACCTTACCTGTCTGGCCCCATGTACTCTAGAATACAAGATGTCAGCTCCACCCTACAAAGAACCCATACTCCCACAATCCTAAAATCACTGACATGTCCCGCATTTGAACAAGCTTGTTTCTTTGCTAAGAATGCCCCCACCTTGGAAAACTGATATATTCTTCAAGAATCAAATCATTTGTTCCCTCTGGTATGGCCCCACAACTCATTCCAAACAGATTTCCATTTTTGCTTTCACTGCACCCTGGTATGATGATATCTCTGACCACATCATATTGTTTTATCCACAGGCTTTCTCATCACTAACCTGTGAACAACTTGATAGACAGACCTGATCCATGAACATGTCTTAAATAAATGGGTTGCTGTATTTTAGGATTATAAACATTTTTCATTATTGGAAAGTGTAATGAGGACCTTCTGCAGAATCGTTTAGAACCAAAACCACCAGGACACAATTTTTATAGTGTCTGTATATTTGTGATGCAAGGTCTTGTAAAGGTTTTTACTGAAAACTACCATTAACCATTCTTACTGACAATAAATTATTAATAAAAAAAAAAAAAAACCATGTCCTTTCTGTTTTGGTAGTCTCAGTACAAAGCATAGCATGTAACACATAGTAGATACCAGTATTGTTTGTCAAATGAGTGGGGCATGACATCTGCTATGGTAACCCAGGCTACCTAGAATTCCAAAAATGAAACTGGGCCAAAGGATGCCTGTCAGTGCTACTTATGAAACTGCTACTGTGTATAGGGCTGTATAATACACTATCAAAGGATATAAAGGAAATAGAACCAAATGACATTTGTACAATTATCCTCTTTATTTGTACCACTGTTGAAGTTGTGGATAATCCAGAAATTCAAAATAATTGGTTTGTAGTACCTAATTGGCTTTCTGTCCCATCAAATTTCTCTTCCTAATTTTATTTGCCTGGGCCCAATATTAAAAAGGTCTATATAGTCAAGGGTTTCTTCAGTAGTCATGTATGGATATGAGAGTTGGACAATAAAGAAGGCTGAATGCCAAAAAATTGATGCTTTCGAACTATGGTGCTGGAGAAGACTCTTGAGAGTCCCTTGGACTGCAAGATCAAACCAGTCAATCCTAAAGGAAATCAACCCTGCATATTCATTGGAAGGACTGATGCTGAAGCTGAAGCTCCAATACTTTGGCCACCTGATGCAAAGAGCTGACTCACTACAGAAGACCCTGATGCTGGGAAAGGTTGAAGGCAGGAGGAGAATGGGGCCACAGAGGATATGATGGTTGGATGGGATCACTGATTTAATGCACATGAGTTTGAGCAAACTCCGGGAGATAGTGAAGTACAGGGATGCCTGGTGTGCTGCAGTCCATAGGGTCTCAAAGAGTTGGACACGACTAAGCAACTGAACAACAACAAATATTTAAAAAATATTAGTTGGCAATATCTGAATAGAATTCAAAATAAGTTGACCACCTCTGAGCACTCACCAATTGGGCAGAAGATGCTAAGGAGTTGGACAGAGACTGGTTTTTAAATACCTCTTAGCTCTGGTTAATACACAGAACAAATCACTGACATAGAAATCACAGAGTTGACTCTCTGACCCATTCAGTGACAAGCAGATAGACAGTTGGGAAGACTGTGGGCTTAGGTCTTATCCTGGTTTGAATCCCAGTGTATTCATTTGCTAGGTATGTGACTTAGGACAAGTAATTTTTGCCTGTCTTGCAGAGCCTCAGTTTTCCTATCTGTAAAATGGAGATGACAACCTATACTTAGTGAGATAACTGTGATGAAATGGGATGCTATATGTCCAAGTGTCTGACACATAATAAATACACAGTAAACTTTAGTCTCTGCTAAGCGACTTCCAGCAAAAAGAAATGAGAGGAAGAACATTTAACAGTTCTCAAAAATATAGCAGAAATGCAGAAAAGCAGCTACATACTTTGCCCTTGCCAAATGTCTGCCCCCATTTTGTATTCTTGAAGTTTCATATATTCACACCACCCTCTTACCAACTCTTGACTCCAACTTATATCCAACTTCCTCCTCTCTGTTTCCACTTGGATGTCTGTGAAGTGAAAAGTGAAAGTGTTAGTCACTCAGTCATGTCTGGTTTTTTGTGACCCTACGAACTGTAGCCCACCAGGCTCCTCTGTCCATGGAATTCTCCAGGCAAGAATCCTGGAATGGGTAGCCATTCGCTTCTCTAGGGGATCTTCCCAACCCAGGGATCAAACCCAGGTCTCTTGCATTGCAGGCAGATTATTTACCATCTGAGCCACCATGGAGCCCACTTGGATATCTAGTAGACATC